TTTTTTTGGTGTGAAATTTTGATTATAATCACAATCGGATCGATTCGTTCGCATTTATACCAAAGAGGGGACAGATACTCAGCGAGAGACTCTCTTTATTGGTAATGTATGTTTCTTGTAGGTTAACCAAGTTAAAATTAAACTAATTATGACTTTCATTTGTAACTAGGCGTCGAATTTACCACAGACGACGGTATTTACTACAAAGGTCAAACATGGAAATATGCAGGATGTGATTTTTACTTTCCTGGAGCTTATGAGATACAGGGTGTCTGCCCAGCAATGGCTAGACCTGTTTGTTATGTCTACAATGGAGCTATCCGCTGCGCCTCAGAGTGTCCCGGTATTATCTTGTGTTCTTGTGTCTATTTTAATTTATTGATTAATATCTTTGTATTTGCTTATTGCCTTCGTATGCCAAAGCCTTTACTTTTCTAGTTTTCGTGGGCTTTAATTGTCGTTCTTGGGCTGCAATCTTTGATGCACCATCTTGGATTTCAAACCTTTTACTACTCCGACTCACAAAGTCTCAAAACAACATGTTTAGGCAGACTAATCTGTAATTCCCGGCGATTTTAACGAAAAATTGTAAATTACTAAGAGTTATAAAGCTCAATAATTCTTAAAGATTTAGTATTTTTGGTTCCTGACCATCAATGTTTATTATTTTGTACCTACCGCCTTAGTCTTGTTATTCTAGGGCTGGACTGACTTTAAGTTGTTTATCTTAGTTTATCGAGATTACTTAAGAGCAGCTTGCTCTAACGGTCACCTTTACCTATGTAGGATAGAAAAATTCGATTTTCTCAAACTATTGTCAGGAAAAAGCTTTTTACTAACTTATTTCTAAACTGTATCTTTGAGGTTGTTCGGATTTTTATTTTTTTTCTCGAGAAGGCCTTACTTATTTTGCCCCAAAACTGGAGTCTCGACTCCCCAAATTACACTTTCTAAGAGCGCCAGCAAGCCAAAAAATAAGTGTGGTTGGGAAAAACTAACCCATAGTACTAACATAACATATTTTAGCAGTTATTTAGCGTTGTCAGATCCGTATGAAATTTAAACCTGAATTTTTAGCACATTTTCAAAATAATACGCCTCGACGATGTTGCGTCACGTCAAAATTGAGGCCAATTTCATGGACCAGAAAGTCAATCTGGTACATGGATTTACCTGCCCAAACTATTTTTTCTGGTTAAAAGTATCCTTCAAGCTAAGTTTTTATCGCAAATGTAACTTGGCTAAATAAAAGAAACAAACAAACAAAAATGAGCGTCTCGAAGACAAGGCACTTGAGCTAATCGCCTGACATAATTTTTCACCTTTCAAGCCGCGATCATTATCTCCAAAATTAATCCTGAAATATTTGCCTGTGGGTCTTATCTCCAGTAAAATAACCTTTAGGTATCTAAGATCAGTCAATGTAATTGAAAATAGGTATCAAGCCGCAAACGAGCGTTTCAAGCATATGTTTACTTTGAATAAGAAATCATACCTTTGGCGGTTGACAACGCACGCAACAAAATATCAGATAAATCAGCATCAAGAAAATCTTTGAGAAAACTAGTGGAATATATGTTTGACGAAATACTGGGAGTAATTTCTTACCTTAATTCAGCCTATCTTGATAAGAAATGAGCTTAAATGGCAAGATCGCTTGCAGGCTTTTATACGTTACGTCTTAGTTAATAGAGGGGATTGGTTATGAAGCCCGGCAAACATCAAAGGGGCAAACAAAGATGCCAAGATTTATGTTGGAAAGTCCACCACCGAGCACAACCTTTTGTTTTGCCCTCATGCACTATGCATGAATTACGTAACCAAAACGGCTCTATTTGTCAGTTCCTCAGTAAGGAGTAAACAGCTATTGTGTTTTTTTGCACAGTCAAGGCCAAAAAAGAGAACAAAAACATACAACAAAGAACTCTCTGGGGGCTTTCAAAACCATTCCCTTCTATTAACTATGGTAAAGTAAACGAAGCTTTCTCAACTGTTGCCAGGTCACGTGGTAACCAGTCGCGCGGCTGCATTACCAATCGAACGTTACTTGCGCTTTAGGGAAATACGAGAGTTTTAAATGACATACGCTTTACCAAGATCTAAGATAGCGTGGCAACGTTTTGACGTCATACCCCATTTTCACTTGAGACCAAATAACCTATTATTAGGGGATCATTTTGGTATACGACTTCCAGATATTTTGTTTCTTTTGTGATGCACATTTGTGGTGCCAAGTTTCAAGACCACTGCTTAAATATTTCTAGAGATATTGTTTATTCAGTATTTTACCATTTTTAGTTGCAAACAATATGACGTCAGCACTGATCTAATTTGCATAATAGAAACAAGTCAATATCTCTAAAACGCAAAAAGATATTTCAAAAAGGAAAACGCCATTCTTCTGTATTTTGAAAGGCCTTTCAAATAAGCAGAAATTATTTTTCATGTCATATACACTTTAAATTGGGCGGAAATTAAAAAGCACCCGATGATTTGTCTTTTTGTTTAGTTTTGTTGTGTTTTTTTTTAACTTGGCCCACAATGATGTCTATCAATTTTAATTCAACGGAATCCTTCGGTTTCAAATTCATTGAAACATTTTTAGACCGGTAATTGTTAACTCCAACTCAGGAAAATGTTGCCCTTATTTTCACGCATGTTTTTTGTCTTCATTATAATTTTCTTTTGTCTCGAATTGAATCACCATGCTATTGTACATTTCTGTATATCATAATTCATAAAACGCGTGACAGCTTTCCGACGATTCTTCGGAATCGAGAAAATAACTTAAAATAACAGGTATATTGTAAATGACGTTTTTTTTTTTTTCTAATTAGTAAGGTAACTCAAAGACGTGTTTCTAACTAACATTAAGCTAGGCGTTCTATCAGCATTGTGAGTATCCTCTAGGGGGCAGCTCGGAATGTACTCTAGATCACTATGTCCTGAGAAATATTTCCCTTCCCATATCTGTTGTCCTTGCTCGGAACAAAGTTACCTTACACTAAATATACAATTTCTGCCATGTACAGTAGATAGTCATCTTTATGGACGTAAGACCACACACACTGTCTTGTAATAATTCCAGTATAATACTAGAGCTGAACAAAAAATACAAAAATGTATGCATGTAATGTAATTAATAGTGCTCCATTTTTTATTCAATTATTTATTTAGGTTTAAGGAAGATCGCAAATCAACTACGAGGAAACCTTACAGTCGGTCCCAATGGCCGTCAGTTAGTATCAAAAGCCCAGCACTGCGATAATTCAAACCATTGCTTGCGGGATTTTTATATCCATAATTGTTCATCAGGTAACTTGTTTTGTAGAACTGATGATTGAAGTGCACCTAACCCCCAAAATCTTGTTCGTACTAAAAGGAATCCACTTGTTATTCAAAGCATTTGGGCGAAAAAAATTTGAATTTGGTTGAATCCTCGATTTCTATGCTCTTTCAAAATCGCGATTGAAGTGTTACACGACCGCGTTTTAGGGAGTCTGGGGCGGCGGTTGCTGATGACGTCTACCCAGGAACCAAACACAATAGCGCCTCAGTCAGCTCTCTGTATTTTCTCGAGAAAATGGAAAACAAAATTAATCATTCCAATATATTTTGGGACTAAAACGTCCAAGTTTTGTTTCCGAATAATTTCTTTTTCATCACTGGAGTCAGAGTTAGGTTTCGATTCGGAAGACACCGAAATAAAATTCGATCGAGCACGTTCGACAACTGTGAACTCACTGCTTAGAGCTTTGAGAACAATTTGCTATATTTCAAGCAACGACGGGGAAGACTTCTTTGCGGACGAGCTGCTTGTATATTAGGAATGGAAAGCTAGATACGAAGTGAAGGAGCAGGCAAACGAAAACCAGGAAAGAAAACTCAAGGACTGCTTTGGATGGTAATTTCGTCACCTAAACACAAGACTCCCACGCGTGTTTATAGCCCGTTTACATTTGGCCTTAGCGAGAATGTATTTTGTCAAGGTATGGTTGTTCTATTAAATCCAGTTTGTGTTTTAATTTCTGGAATTCTTCATCTTTATAAGAGCGACGTAAGTGTTGCAGTTTTCGAGACTTGATGACCTCCAAAACACTGGCTTCGATCGATTGACAATCGTAGAATTGTTTGGACCTGGTATGGTGGCCTAGGACTGCCATAGCAAAAAAACACGTTGTCTCAGCAAGTTTCTTGTAAATTTATGTTTTATTTGCTTTATCGGTTGTATTTTTTATGTTTCTTCTATGTCATTTTCATTTTTTTTTTTTTTTATCACAAAAATATTTTAATTTAAAATCAAAAGTAAATGAATTAAGAAATTGATTTAAATCAAAAGAAGATATCTCAAGAAACAAAATAAAAACAAAATGGTTCTGAAAATGAAAGTAATTTCAAACGAAACCAAAATTTGCCGCGAAATAAATTTAAAAACTAATTTAAAAAAAAAATAATAAAAAAAAGTTATCGTAAACTAAACTAAAAACAAAATTGTCCCTGGCCTATCGTTGCCATAAGAAAGAAAACAAAATAGTTGGTAACCTAGCGTTGCCATAACGAAAAAAGAACAAAACAAAACAAAACAAAACAAACAACAACAAGAAAAAAAAAACAGAAAAAACACGCGTGGCCTATCGTTGCCATAGACCGAAATGCATTTCGGTGCATTCACCGAGATCAACGGCAAACATCGCTGCCGGAAGTCGAAACTGGAACAAAGTTAAAGACAAAATTAAATAACTGCGCCAAGGAAGAGAAGGGAAGGATTCTGGCAAGTCAGCCAAAGACCTTGAAACCGTAATTGTCCAGCGCCTTGGCGCAGAGATTTCTAGAGACGTTCTTATATTTCTTGCAAATATCTGATCGAGCTTATGTCTCTCGAGCTCAAAGCATTATAAAGCTAATCGTTCTGGCACCACATGATTCCAATGTAACTTTTTTACGCGCAAATTTGTTGAATGTTTTGCGTGTGGTATCACAGGCAGCCCAAGCTCTCTCTATGAGCCACACAAGCAACGCAATATGGCATCGAATTATAAGGGTTTATATATGATTTTCTACAAGATATCCATGGAGGTAGTTAAAAGTGAAAATTCTCAATAAAAATGGCTTAACTTGTGAAGTTAATATGAAATAATTCATATATGAACTGCGGTTGTAGATGAAAGTGAAGAATGATCATCGCAGTTAATTTT